GTGTCTTCTTGGAATTTTTCAATGGTATGTTGTAAATTTGACATAGAAATGATGAGATTTTGGTATTAATGGAAGGGAAATGTAAAAACAACTAAAATGTATTAAAATATAAATAATTAGACTAGAAATGTATTAAAATATAAATAATTAAAACCAAAGTTTCTCAAGAGGACTGGATAAGTAGAAGAAATTAAAAAGTAGGAAACAAAGTACGTACGTTACAGATCATGTGTCTACATAGAAAATTAGCCCCCTCTGTGGCTCAGTGGTAAGAGCGCCTGTCTTTAAACCTAAAGGTCGTGAGTTCGAATCTCACCTGGGTGGAAGTTTTCGTTTATTAAAAAAAAAAAATAAATGAAAATAATTTCTACCTTTGTGTGATCGGTACTCACCGGAGGGACCGCAGACGTTCGGATACAATTAGCGTCTCTTAGCAAAGACAATGACGTCGACTTTGCTAAGTATCAAGACAATTACTCTACACACACACACACTACATTAATAAACTTATCTTGATTGAGACTGGCTGAATGACAAATGTCCAAGCCAAAACACACAAAAAAAATACATAGAAAATTTAAAAAATTAAAATATGGAGGTATGATAGAACTAAAGTATACTTTTCCGGGGTAGAACCAGAAGACTAGGGAGTAAACATAATTGATTAGTAGGCGAAATCGAATGAAAAATGTCTCAGTAATCAAAGCATTTTACGGCAACACTGAAATTCATCCAACTGAAAATAAATTCAAGACAAAAAAAAATCACGTCTAACTACAAAAAACGAAATAATGTATAGATGGAAACAATACTTCGACGAACTAACAGAGTTCAAAAAGGAGTCTCAAGAGAAAGAAGGTTATATAAGTTTCTTCTCGAGATAATGATATGACCTGATCCACTTTTACCTCCCGTAGTAATGATTTCTTCGTATTCTCTGCACTTCTAGAATTTAACCATTGCTTTGATTTACCTCATTTGGAATCATTTCCATTGAAACTTCAGGAAGTTCTTCATCTTTTTCATTATACTCTAGCTAGAAGAAAGCTATCCTTTTATAACCATATTGTGCAATGTAAAACAGGAATATATAATGTTTCCAGCTTGCGCAGGGCTGTAATGTAAGACCCACAATCAAACAATGAAAGCGGGATTTCAAAATCCTGCAATCTTTCTCAATCAGATTCCTAGTTGCAGTAAAGCATGGGTGAATCTTCCTTCTGGTGTATTTTCTGTAGCCACGGTTGTGATGGGTAACCTGAATATTCAATTAAATAGGCATTTTTAAGTTTATATGCCACAAATTGTCTTCCCAAAAATCAATTCACTAGATACACTTAACTCCCAAATCTCTAAATCATGTGTAGAAGGAAGTATTATAATTTATAAATGTAGAATTGGCATCACAAATTGCTTGCATAATACTTTAAAACCGTTTTCTGTTGAAGTAGACCAGGTCTGGTCGGATCATCAGCAGAAGGTGCTGAATTTCAATATGTGTGCAAAAAGTAATAAGATTTTGTCGGCTTTTTTTATCATGTTTATGATGAGAAACGCAAAAAATTGCTAAAATAATGCAAGAATTACACTGACAAGCATACCCGCCAGTGTTTACTAGGATAATGCAAAAAGACTCTAGAGGAAAAACTAGAAATTAATTACGATCCTCATTTTATGAGACAAAAATATAATATATCGATTTAGTTTTCGGCTTCCATTTCTGTATTTATCATCTACCATCATAAAGTATTACATATTAATAGATTTTGATTATTTCGTTCCACTTTTTAACCACCAAATATACATCACCTCCTCATAATATTGTTTGCTTAGACACCAGGAAAACCCATCCATTATTTCCGACCTACTAATTTTTTGTATTTGGTTTGTTAGGTCCGCAAAAACAAATAATATCGTTCCATCTGACTGGCAATCGAATAAAAAAACAATCAGACGCATTTGGCCAATTTAACGTTTTCCTCGAAGCCGTAAAAATTCTAGTACGTTCTAATGTTTCGTTAGTTACGGCTTAGTAGAGCAGATTTGCATTAGATTGTGAGGGGATTAGAGACACGCGCTGATCACGATGGGTCAACGGAACGATCAATTCAAGGACGCAGGATGCGGGGAATGGATTTTACAATTCAAATAGATACAAAGGAGTGGGTAGACTTTAACCGAAATTTTGAAATATGTAAAAATCAGGTGCTACTTCCACATATTATGAATCATCGAGTAGAAAATATCAGTACAAAACGGCGATGTGTAATTGCCAAAATTTACGACGTCATTGGCATTAAAAACATTTAAGTATATTTACTTAATTTAATGATGGTGGATTATGGTGATCATTAATTAGGTAGAGATCAGAAGCAAAAAACAGAAAAAGGTAACGATGAACAATGTAAAATGTGATATAACAAAAGCATAGTTACTAAAATCATATGGAAGATATACAGAGTGGTCACTTTATTCAATAAAAATATATTAAAATTTTTCCTACAAAATTCCTGACACACTTTGATTTTAGTTAAATTTTGACACGTTTTATGGTAGTAAAAGGACTAAGCGAAGTTTGATGCTGTTACAGTGAATACTGGATTAAAGAAGACTACTCCTACTGGGGGTTTAGGAGGGACCTCATAAATGTTTGTCCAAATAACAGCAATTTAACCTCTACTCGGAATTGCTATTCAAAAAAGCCTTGGAAATCACAAGGACAGGGGAAGATTGGTTTTCTGTGGTTTCCCAATCTCATTGCACAATGATACCTGATCCTAGGTGAGGATATAGCCACAGCTATCCTCCACGCGTTTTTCCAACAAACAAGAATGGCCAATAATCTGAAAGGAATCGTTTTTTCCACGGAACTTGTACTTCGTGACAGACTTGGTATGCTTGGCTAACTCTTCCGGAAGGTACGATTTCCGCCTCTTGCCTTCTTCTTGTTCTCGGTATCCTCCCCGTCCTTCTCCTCACCCTTTACCTTTTTTAGCGGCGGCACCCTTAGTCTTCGGAGTCCAACTGAAGTCATACGAACGAAAACTGACATTCAAACCAAACAAGCATTAGCATCCAAATAATAAACCAACCCTTGAAGAAGCATAGAGCTTAAAGCAAGGTAAAAACGCAATTGATTGAGACATAACAATTAATGGAGAAAGAATTTTTACTATAAGATATGCAGATGACAACTTCTATATCGATTTCAAACGGGTGTTTGATGGAGTAGATCGACAAAAGATGCTTTGTCTTTCTCAAGTGATCACTTGAGAAAGGCAATTAGCCGAAACAGCTGTAGTGATAAGATTTAAAATAAATTTTGTGGAAGTTTGAAAACAAAGTTTTCAGTGTTTTATTGTTACATAATATTAAAACATGTAAAATGTTTTGTTTGGTCTGTTGTTCCCCATGGAGTCTAAACGTGGACTCTAAAAGATAATCAGTCTGAATAAGTTAGAGGCATTGGAAATGTGGATGTACCGAAGAATTTTAAAGTTCCTCAGGTACTATAGAATCTCTATGTCAACTACATGCTTACACAATCTAAAGCAATCGAAAAATTCATTTCTTACATTTTGTAAAATGTTTGAGAATCATTTGTTAAATTTTTTGAGGAATTAAGTGTCACAAATTTTGCGAAAAACGTATTGGTACATTTTGATTCAATTTATGCTAGTTAAAGTCACCACCCTGTATATGAGACTAGAAACGATAGTATATTATATAACAAGATTATAACGAAAATCTGATACTGGCGAATGATTCACAACGCGATACAAATGTATAGAATTTTCTTTCTGACAGAGTAAAAAAGAATACACATGCTGCAATTCGAAGAAAAATATTCAAGAATTAATGCTAAACCCCCCCTGTAACAACCAACTCCACCGATTTGATATTCGTCAAGGTGAATGAGAGTCGGCGGAACGAAAAAGTTTGGAACGCGTTCATCTTTTTATTTGGCAGCAAAGTCGTTTTCGATGAGCGCCAAATCTTCGACTCTACAAGTTCAATGTCATTCGATAGTTAGTTTTTTCCGGGGTCTTCGTCTGACCATGGCCTCGCCAGATGAAAGCATCGCAATTCTTAAAGGTGTTACGAGGGGAGCTGATACGTTAGAGGAATAAAATATGAGGCTCGCTCTCGAATTTGCCGCTGGACTTACTAATCGACCGAAAATATTAATTTTATATCAAACAGAAGAAAATGGAGAAAAAGTTATTGAATATTAAGAAAATATATTTAAAATAAATAAATTAAAGATCAACATAAATGTTGGATAAAAGCTTCTGATTATTTTCTGATAATAGGAAAAAATGTCTGTCGTCACTCTCGAAAAACCTATGCAGCATATCAGCTTAGCTGACTGGTACGCGAAACAATGGCAGTTGCAACAAACCAGTGATACCAGAAGGAATGGACTCCTTTTGCATGAGACACGAACTGAGGCAACTGCGGAATGAAACAAGGACTAGAACTGAATGGGATACCTATCATAACAATGTTAGACTGGCTGATAGAATATCTGAAGTTGATAGATGGAGGGACGTTCTGATTTCTTGCTTGGACAGAGTAAACCACGAAATAAAGTTATTGAAAGATGAAACGTTTGATACCGAACGAGTATTACAAGTATGAGGCCTATAGAAGCCTTTGAGATGTGGTTTTTTCGAAGGATGCTGAAGATCTCTTGGACAGAGCACGTGACCAATAACGAGGTGCTAAGAAGAATGGGAATGAGAGAGAACTCCTAAATATTGTAAACAAGAGAAAAACGAGTTATCTAGGACATATTTACAGAGGAGAAGGCATCTTAAGAAGAAGATTTCAATGAAGGATTGCAGACAAGGCACTGACCTTACATATGACGGAGAGGACACAGAAGTGAAAAAAGTGTTTGGAACTTGTATTTGGTCGAAAACGTAAAGAGAATGTTAGTGGAGAGATGTCAGTCAGCGTGGCAAAAGAAGTCAAGTTTTATCTCAATCTTGATATTAATGACAAAAACGAAGCTTGAAATTGATAAAGATCAACTCACGTTAGATAAAAATTGTGCGAATATCACATTTAAAATCGATGCTCTCAGATTAGTGAAAGGTTCTGTTCCATACGAAATTTGGCTGGAGCATACACGAAACACCAAGCAACTAGCCGATAACGAACTAGCTGATACCATCAAACTTCAAGAATCTCTTTTTGTGGTAAGAGAAAGAGTGCGCAACGACATGTTAGCTCAAAGAGACCGAGTGGATTTTATCTTGCGTAAACCCATCTACCCATGAGGGAAGAAATGTAGAAGGTGCTGAAGGAAATCCGAGATTTGGAGGTATGTCTGCTGGCGAGAACTGATGCGTTGAAATTGGCAGAAACACGACTGGAAAATCGGTCATATAGACCTGGTGTTGAAATATAATCTTTATTTCTGATGAAGTTAAGCTTAATTTTATTTTTTATCCTTTTTCTTTTGCTCTATTGTTTATTTTTAGTTTATGTTTCAAGTTGTTTCTATACTAATGTATATATTGAAAAACATTTGATAGTTAATACAAAAAATTATACTATTATGTACAGAATAATTACTCAAAATGATTAAATGAGAAAAAAACTATGATTGTATTTTTTAGTACGTCAAATGATGCTAAGGGTGGATTATTTTCCATCACACCACAAATGAAAGAAAAACACATTCTTCATTCATTTTTCCTTGCAATTACAACTCTTCCAAGTTCAACAACGTCGTTCACCTTAGTTTTTTCACCTTTATTTCTTGGGATATAAGTACACGAGACATGCTCTGTTTACCTCACTGAAGAGCACATTTTCACAAACGCGAAACAGCTCATCGAAAATTACAGAATCGATACATCTCTCAGTGGTCGAGCAATAGGCCAGGCAAAGTTAGACGTATCTAGTGATTGTGAAAACTGTTTGAAGTACATACCTTTATTCTTATAATCAACGACCTTTATTTTCGACCAATTCTAGGTACTTGCATAAGGTATTCTTGTAAGCATAGAAATATGTTTCTACAAGATCTCTACAAGTAGTGGTGACTTTCTTTTTTGAACCGATAACGCCACGTTTCTCTATTCTACAATTGTTGGTATGCCTCTTTTGTTTCTTCCCCTTGAGCTCTATTTTAATATTCCTTTCTATATCACCATATTACACGTTTTTCTTGTATGTACCTTAGTATGTCTTGTTCCAGATCAAAATAGAAAATTAAAGAAGAAAAGACAAAGGAAAAAGAAGATTTCTAGACAATAACATCAAAACAATCGAAGACAACAATACTAACAATTATACGAGACAATTATAATAATTAAGAAGCGAAGTAGAGAAGCAGTAATTCCAGCATATAATGTTTTTGTGTAAGAATGAAGAAAAGAATCTTGTGGAATGAGCAGCAGCGACAAGAAGATGGAAAGAACATCGTTAAATCTCAAGCTTTCCCAACAAACTAAGGCATGAGGCAAGGAGACTTTTTTTATACTTACACACTCAAAAACACCAGTGTCCAGCTATCGCAGACAACCTGGTACTAATAGTGTATAAAAAAAGCTAAAAATTTTACTTATCTGTGGGATAACATCAATAATAGAAATGAGGAATCGAGAGAAATCCAAAGCTGAATCAACCCAGAAAATAGAAGCGCAGAAGCGCAAAACAAAATATCAAAATCCAAAGCTGTCAAAGAGAGGCTCTAGAGAACTGTCATAAGACCAGCCATATTGTATGGATGCAAACTTTGGATAAAAGAGAACGTTGAAACCTAGCAGAACATTGAGTGAGGAAAATCATTTAACGATCCATTTTTATGCATCCCTATCTGGTAATTAAAATTGTGCTGATCGTCGATATTTGAGAGATGATACAATCGTCTCATTGAACCTCTTTTTTTTTTAATGGTCGAATTTGATCGAAATATTAAAGCTGTGGCGTAATTCCGACAGGGAAAGCTTGCTCTGTGTAAATTAGCACATTATTTCATTTCTGATCGCAGAGTGGGTCACATATGTTCTATTTTCTTCAAAGTATCCATTAGGTGAGTTGTTATAATTTTTCTATAGGTTATGTTCTACCGGTTTTCGTGTAAATAGGGCACTAATAGCTTCTTCTTTCACTTTCTTTCAAAAGGAAAAAGAAGAGAATTTTTCTTTCTAATATTTGACAGCTTTGTTTGTCTTATATACTATTGGTAGTCCCATTTTATTTTTTTATCTGTCCTAAAATGGATACAACCAGCCACGTCTAGTTAATGTTCCTTCTGATGGATTTTGGATACTTTGCAGGACTTTGGCGGATTTATGGATGGTTTTGGAGTACTTTTGGACTGGAAATAGTAACTATAAATAATTTGGTTTTATATGCTACGCTTCTTTTTATCCAGTGGCTATCTGCTTCACGAAGAAAGAATTCAAAAGGAAATAAATTTTCCCTGCTTCTGGTACCAATATTTTTGTACGCCATTAGGTCGCAGGTCATTATTTTTATATTACTTACCTAAGTTATAAATGCCGTACAAATATTTATGTTTGGCGAAAAAGTCCACCGTTGAATGGTAACTGTGACTCACCTGTAGCGATAAGAATTGACGGCATAGTTACTTAAGTTATTACATATTGTAGTATTGATTTATATGTGATTCTTTTTCTTCTTCTTCAGCCTTTATTTATCCATTGTTGGATATAGGCCTCCTCCAATTGCTGCCACGCTTCCCTATCTTTTGCAATTCTCATCCACTACTTTCCAGCTACAGCTGTTATATCGTCTATCCATCTCTTTTCGGGTCTTCCCACGCTTCTTTTTGTTTCTCGAGGTCTCCAAAATGTCACTTTATGAGACCATCTGTTGGTGTCTTGTCTTGCTACATGTGCTACCCATTGCCATCTCAATGTCGCTATTTTTCCCATGATGTCGGTTACTTTAGTTCTTCGACGTATTTCGGTGTTAGGAATTTTGTCTCTGAGGCTTATATTTAACATGGCCCTCTCCATAGCCCGATGAGTTACTCTTAATTGTTCTACCATTTTGCTTGTTACTGCCATAGTTTTTAATCCATAAGTTGCAACTGGTAGTACACAAGTGTCATAGGTTTTTCATTTTAAAAAATGAATCTCAACTTACCAAAAGCAGCCCATGACAATCATGTCCTTTTAATTTCTAGGGTTTGAATTTCCTTTTTGTTTTTCATTGCATGTCCTATTCTATATATTGTTCTACCTTCTCTATATTGATGTTATCTATCGTGATGTTTTCTAGGCTGTTGTTTAATATCTTTGTTTTGTCGAGATCCTATTTGATTCGATTTGTGATTTAAATCTTGTAGCATTGATTTTAGTTCATGGATATCTGTGCTTATTAGTACTATGTCGTTTGCGAAACGCAAATGGTTAAGATATACTCCATCTATTTTTAATCCCTTTTCGGTAAAATTTAGTTTTTTAAAGACATTTTCTAATGCCAAAGTAAATAACTTGGGTGAGAAGGTGTCGCTTTGTTTCACACCTGTGCCAAGGTCTATTTTCATAGTTTCCAGATCATCATCTATTTTTACGTGAAAAGTAGCATCATCGTATATATTCTTAAGGAGGGCAGCATATCTTGAATCTACTCTGGCGTCGTTCAATGCTGTTGATAAAGCCCATTTCTCGATACTGTCGAATGCTTTGTGATAATCGACAAATGCCAGATGTAGTGGTATGTTGTACTCTATTGTTTTTTCAATAACTGTCCAGATTGTTATTCACACTGGGTCAAATAACCTATTAAAAATCTCACAATGGGTTGTAGTCTATATTTTTTATTGTTTGATTCCTTTAGTTGAATGAAGTTAAACCACGGTAAACGCATCGACTACATCGTCCTGAGCATTTTAGTGAAAGTTAACATATTAAAAAAATCTTTTTTATATAGCATATACATTGAACGTTTATTTCCTAGATTGTATAAAATAAATATTAAAAAAGTTACTCAGAGCGTCATTATTTTCTGCTTAGTATGGTAAAAAACGTTTTTGGGTCGAAAACCGCTTAAAAAACCGATTCCTTTCAAATTTTTAACACTCTCTTTGGACACACCATCAATCGAAAGTATTTTTAAGCATTGCCTGGTCTATGTTCGCTTCTTCTGTTCTCGGTCTTCCTTCATGCGTTTCATAAGCGCGGACAAGGCGGGGTAAGTGACTTAACATGACCTCGGAAACACCGCAAACCGACGCCGCGAAGATTCTCGATCGCTAAACGTCTCTGCATTAGGTCACTGTCCCAAAGAAACCTCTCAAAAATTTTCCGTGCGCGTTGCCACATGAAGTACTTTAGTGCACACTTTTAAGACTTATTTTGCATACGAATGGACGTCGAGTAAAACTAAAAACTCGAACTAACTCGAATTTGTCCCGATTGAATAAGGAACTTACCACACTTACCTCATCGGAAACAAATCTACACTGTTAAATTTTGTTTTTATAGTAGCCATATCTCACTCCTACACATTGCTATACACAATTATTTTGTTGAGTAGTATTTGGTTGTTTCCTTTAACATTTTTTTTTGGATCAAATGTCTCTTTATGGTACTGTGTAGTTTTTATATTTGTCTGTTGTTTTTGCGATTGTTCTAATTTGATCTATCTATCTATCTATCTATCTATCTAATCAGCCAAACTCACATTCTTGGGCATAGGCCTCCCCTATTAATCTCCATTGGTCTCTATTTTGAGCTATCTGCATCCAGTCCTTTCCTGCCTGTTCTCTTAAGGTCGTCAGTCCATCTCATCTGTGGTCTTCCTCTTTTTCTTTTCTTTTCCCAAGGTCTCCAGTGTAGAATTCGCTTATTCCATCTTTCATCTTTTTGCCGGAGAGTGTGACCGGCGAAGTTCCATTTAAGTTTTGCAACCTGTCTTGATATATCGTTCACCTTTGTTTTTTCTCTGATCCATGAGTTTTTTTCCTGTCTTTAAGACCGATACCCAGCATCTGTCTTTCCATTGCTCTTTGTGTTTTGGATATCCTGTCGATGTTCTCCTTTGTGAAAGTCCATGTTTGTGAGCCATATGTGATAACTGGTAAAATGCACTGATTGAATACTTTCGTTCGCATATATTGAGGGAACTTTTTATTTTTTAGAATATATGATAGTTTACCAAATGAGGCCCATGCTAGTCTAGTTCTTCTTTTTATTTCTTCTGTTTGATTATCCCTGTTCAGTTTTATTATCTGTCCTAGGTATATGTATTCTGCCACCTGCTCTAATTTATTCTGTTTGACTACTATTTCTAATTG